GTGATGCCATGGCACTCTACCCAGGTGGATAGCTTGAGGCTCCGTCTCAAAAAAAAAAAAAAAAGGAAATAGCAGGGCTTGGTGCAGTGGCTCACAACTGTAATCCCAGCACTCTGGGAGGCCAAGGCAGGTGGATCGCCTGAGCTCATGAGTTTAAGACCAGCCTGAGCTAGAGCGAGACCCTACTTCTAAAAAGTCAGGTGTGGTGGGTGACTGTAGTCCCAGCTACTTGGGAGACTGAGGCAAGAGAATCGCTTAAGCCTAGGAGTCTGAGGTTACTGTGAGCTATGATGCCATAGTACTCTACCGAGAGTGACAAAGTAAGATTCTGTCTCAAAAAAAAGCAGCTTTTCTTCCCCTCATAACCAGCCTATGCCTACAAGCCATCACCCTTCCTTCCTTTCAAAGTTCAAACAGTAATAAAAATGAACAGAGGGGCTCTGCGCCCATAGTTCAGTGAGTAGGGTGCCAGCCACATATACCGAGGCTGGTGGGTTGGGGCCCAGCCCAGGCCTGCTAAACAACAATGACAAGTGCAACAAAAAAAATAGCTGGGTGTTGTGGTGGGTGTCTGTAGCCCCAACTACTTGGGAGGCTGAGGCAAAAGAATCACTTAAGCCCAAGAGTTTGCGGTTGCTATGACTCCAGGGCACTCTACTGAGGGCAACATAGTAAGACTGTCTTAAAAAAAAAAAAAAAAAAAAGAACAGAGGAAAAGAACTGTCTTTCCCTTATCAATCCATAGGTGGTGCCCAATCACCTTAAGCATTAGACCTCCCACCCCCCAATTTTCTTTGGTCTCCATTCCCAATCTAAACTGCATGTTGCATCCAGGTCTGCTATCCAGTCTCTCTCAAACCACTGGAGTCACTGAGCCTGTTTGCAGACCCCATTCTCAAGCTGCCCGCCCACGGTGGGAGGGGACCAGTTGGCTAGGAATGGAACACAAGGTAGAAAAAGATAGGATTCTTGCCAGAGAACCTACCCTGCCTGGGGCCAGTGTAGGCTAGGCTGTGGGCGTGGGAGCAATCTGTTCAGCATAAACAGGCCCTAGCAGGCGAGTAGTACCGGGCTGACCAAGCACTGAATGGGTTTTCTGTAAATATCTACAAGCAAAGCCTCAATCCTAACTTCTCAGGTTGTCCTGTGAGGGAATAGGAACCCCCACCCTGTTTACTAGGTCTTAAATCTTGGCCGGCCAGATAGTGCCGGCAAAAAGTAGGGGAAAGGTCAATGGAAACAGTCTAGCTCATGCCTGGAACCACTCCAGAGTATCTGGGAAAGCTGCTGCATCCTGGGTCTCTGGCTTTGTCTAGCAAGGTCACCTGCCAGACAGGGCAGAGTTCAAGAATGATCTGATCTTTCTGACACTTTGTCTTTGAGGCAGTACAACTGATCCCAAGTGGTCACTCCAACCTTTGTCCTCTTTTCCCCAGTTTCATGAGAAAAGGATGTGTGTGTATAGAGATGGGGGTGGGGGTGCAGCTTCCACCTTCCTTGACTACCCTGTTTATTCTCCCTCTGTTACATTCCCAGGCAGACATTGTGGGGGATTTAGGGAGTGGCTGTGCCCCCAACATAGACACAGGTATAGTTGGTTAGGTCAGGACTGGTGTGTGTATGTATGGGAGAAGATAAAAAGAAAATGTTCAGTGTCTTGCTTTTTTGCTATCTCTTCCTAACCACAATCACAGGTTAAAGTATAATTATGGGAACCCCCAATGACAGGTCCCCTGTCCCATTCTCTCTACTCTACTCACACCAACACCTTGGAGAGATAAGAAAGGAAACACATCAATCATCACAAATTGTTCAATAACTCTGGAATGTTCTGTTTCTATTCCTGTTTCCTTCTTTGTTTTCTTTGGCTGCTTCTGTCTTAACACTTACTAACAAACCCAAACTTGGCTTTTAAGGTGTTTTCCCTCAATGGAGTCACAGCCCCTCCTCTTTAAAATAAGGTCTGAAATATCTAACCTTAGATTACCAGACTCTACCATTTGGTGTTGTAGGGAATTCAGTTAGCCTGCCTAAATGCAGTTAAGCTATTTCTTGAAGGGTCTCTTACGTCCCATCTTATGGCTTTCAAATGCTCAGTAGGGTCACTAGGACGGGCAAGCTTGTTATTCAGTTCCTATTCTGGACACGCAGCTTGCCCGTGACTGTTGCATGTCAAGTGGCTGGAACCAATCAGCTCATGTGAGGCTTCCTTAGAAGCCAATCAGAGCCTAGGAAAATGACCTCACCCAAGGGAGAGCTGTGTGGGCGAGAAAGCATCTCAGAGCTGTGAGTGTCCCTAAGTCACTCTCCTCCTCCCCACCCTCCTTACTTCCTGTAAAACAACCGCCTGCCCCCCGTCCGGCAAAGGGAGTGAGAAAAGCTAAATAAATTCCACAAAGGGAAGAACCAAAAGAGAAATTGCAACTCAGCCACGCACTAGTTTCTGCGAGTGGAGAATAGAATTTTTAGGGGGCTCTTTTTGCAGACATATCTTTCAAAATGAGGTCTCCAAGGCTGGAAGAGGAAAACTGTACTGAACAAGAGTCAGCTCCTCCTACCTATACCCTCCCTGCACCTGGCTTTCTTGACTCTCTCCACAAAAATAGCTGTAATCATGCTTTGTAAATAAGGACAAGACCAAGGTCAAGTGTGGGAAAGAGAGGGCCTGTGTCGTTGTGAACATTTGTGAACAGAGACAGTCTAAAGAACCTCAGGCTCAGAAGCCAGTGGGGACGCAGGGAACATGAACTGTTTTTCTCTACAACTGACTGCACAGCCCTGCAGATGAGGTCTTGAATATTCTGTGACAGGTTAGTTTCCAGGTATACGTCCTACCAAGGGAACAAAGGACAAGACACTGGACTCTGTTTAGGTAGGTGTCCCCTTCACCCCTTTCCCACCAGGCCTCACCCTAGACAGATAAAAACACTTTATTTAAAAATATAAGACTGGACTTACTCCTCTTAAATGCTCCCAGCCCCAATTATCTCCACAAAGAGCTGTAAAATTCGGTAGGAGTATGTGTACAGCTGTCTCAGCTCTAAAAGCCCAAGTTCTTTCAATTCTTCTTTCTCCCCTCATACAATTAAGACATTTGTCCTTTGCACCTTCTCCACCATATGAGAGGTGACATAAAGGTGAAAGGAGAGGAAGGGTAGAAAGAGGCTATCTGTCATCATTCTCCACTCCTATCTCCAGGGATCAAATAGTTTTTCTGAACTCTGACCAAATGATTTGCTTGTCCACAAAACCAAATAATAGGGACAGTTATTCTCTCTATCCCAAATCAAGAAAGATGTAATAGGTCCAGGGCATTGTTTGGGGTCCTTCTTCAGTATATAGCCTCATCCATATTGTCATCACTGTCACCCCCAAAGTCCTCTCCATTGTCAAAATATGACATGATGTAATCAGTTTCCTGAAATGGAAAAAAAAGAATAAAGAGTCAGGCTTGCTTTTGTATTCTCCTTCCTTCCTGTGTACTAGGCCCCTTCACACCATACCAGGCCCTGGACATTCCTTCCAGTTGTAGTTCATTGTGGGAAAGAGCCTGGGGACAGAGGAAGTGGAAGGAAATCCCTACCTCTGAGGGCACTATCGCCCTCAGCCTCTTTCTGAGGAGTACATTCCTGATGTAAATAATTGAGATTCCCAGATCCCATGAGGAAGAGAGGGGGACTAAGGTAGAAGGAGACCCCCTTCACCTCTTCATGTTCTTCTTCATCATACTCTTCTTCTTCCTCCTCTTCCTTCTCTTCTTCTTCTTCTTTCTCCTCATCTTCCTCTGACGTCACTTCTTCCTCCTTCTTCTCCAGGGTCTCATGACAAGATGAATAGGAAGAGAAACTCAGATTCAGCTCACAGAAGGGAAAAATTGAGGCATACATGAGCAAAGAGGGAATGGATTTAGGTCTTAGGAGGTCTCTATGCACTTTCTCCTCACCTCTAGTTTCTGTATTGTTTCCTCTTTATCTTCTGTGGTCTTAGGGGGCCTCTTGGGGAGCAGAATGGTGATCCCTGGTGGGGGGGGATCAAAAGATAAACCATCGGAGGGCAAATCTTGCTAGCTTCCCACCTATCCTCCCGCAGAGAACATGTCGCTCTGCTGCCCTCTTGTGGCCACTGTGGCATCCCGCAACAACACTTGGCGGATTAGGTAGGAATTGGTAGGGCAAGAGAGACCACCAGCAGCCCTGGCCCTCCAGCGGAGGGGGAAACCTTTCCACTTCTTGTTCCAGATAAACTCACGCTCCTTCTGTAGCTTCCGGACTCGGATCTTTAGCTCCCGGGGTAGACGGCGCCAATCTGGGAATAATGAGAACGTGAATGTCAGTAGGACCCTGCCTGAGGTCTCCTATGAAGGGTGAATGGTTGTATTTGAAGGAGAGATAAAGGTTTTTTTTTTTTT